GAACTGTGGTTGGTATGTAAAAATTTTAAATGAAAAAGCATCAATCAATCTCTATCCACTCTTCAGTTGAGGGGCATCTAGGTTGCTTCCAGGTTCTGGTTATTACAAATAATGCTGCTATGAAGATAGCTGAGCAGATGTCCTTATTGTATGAGTGTACATCTTTTGGATATATGCCTAAGAGTGGAATTGCTGGATCTTATGGTAGACTGATTCCCATTTTCCTGAAGAATCTCCATACCGATCTCCAAAGTGGCTGCACGAGTTGGCACTCACACCAGCAGTGGAAGAGTACTCCCCTTTCTCCACATCCTCTCCAGCATAATCCGCCATTAGTGTTTTTGATTTTAGTCTTTCTGACAGGAGTGAGATGGTATCTCAGAGTTGTTTTGATTTGCATTTCCCTAATAGCTAAGGATGTTGAGCACTTTCTCAAGTGTCTCTCGGCCACACAATGGAGTACTACTCAGCAGAAAAAAAAATGGAATCTTGAAATTTGCAGGCAAATGGATAGCACTAGAAGATACCATTCTGAGTGCGGTAACCCAATCACAAAAAGACAAACATGGTATGTACTCACTCATACATGGATGTTAGACATAGAGCAGGGCATTGCCAGCCTACACTCCCATCTCCAGAGAGTCTGGGAAGCAGGGAGGACCCTAAGAGAGACATGCATGGTAACCCAGAGAAGGGTTATGGGATGAGATATCCTAATTGGATTGGGAGTGGGAGGGGGCAGAAGGAGATGGGGGAGAAGAGGAGGGGAGAGGAAGACATGAGAGAGCAGGAAGGTTGAGCCAGGGTAAGAATAGAGGAGAGGATAGATGAGAGATACCATAATAGAGGGAGCCATTATAAGTTGGAGGCACTAGTGAGATCTTCACAGATCTAAAAGAATGACATCAACTGGCATTAAGGCTACCTTAAATGCCCTCCCATGATAATGAGATTGATGACTACCTTATATGCCAACCTAGAACCCTCATCCAGCGACTGATGGAAGCAGAGGCAGACACCCACAGCTAACAACCGAATTGAACTCCTGGAACCCAGTTTCAAAGAGGAGTGATGAGCAAAGGAATCAAGATCAGGCTGGCGAAACCCACAGAGGCAACTGACCTAAACAAGGGGGAATGTATGGACCCCAGACTGATGACTGAGAGGCCAGCATGGGACTGATCAAGACACTCCCCACCCCCAACCCGAGTGTCAGAGAAGAGGCCTCAGCAATCTATGGGACCTTGATGAGCAGAGCAGTATTTATTCCTGGCATACAAATAGACTCTGGGAGCCCATTCCACATGGAGGGATGCTCTCTCAGCCTGGACACATGGGGGAGGACCTAGGCCCTGCCCGGGATGATATGACAGACTCTGAAAATCCCTCATGGAAGCCCTTACCCTCCCTGGAGAGCAGAGGAGGGAATGGAGTGGAGTGGGGGATTGTGAGGATTGGGGAAGGGCGGGGGAGGAGGGGAGGGAGAGGAAACTAAGAGTAACATGTGTAAAAAGTTAAATGAATTAGAAAAAATCAATCTACCAGGAAGATAGCTATTTATAAGCTATGCAAAGAAATAAATGACAAAACCAAAAAGAGATAAAGAAAACTCTATAATCATAATGAAAGACTAGAAAGCTCTATAAATAACTAGAAAGAGAGATGAACAATAATAAGTAATAAAATAGCTGAATAGTAATAACCTCTTAAATAAAAGAGCTGAAACAACAAAATTAACAAACTTGACAAAATAGCCATCCACAGACCACTGTGTCTACAAGAGCAGAAGCTCTGCAAGTACCCCAACCCTGAATCTTCATCACACACTGAGACAGAAGACAAGACAGCTTCAAAGATGCTTCTCACTCTATGTTCTACACTCAGAATGTGAGCTAGATGTCAAACACAAATGGTAACCAAAAATGACAAGAGGACCAAAAACTAGGCAATAGCCCCCTAGATAATCTATGAACTAAGAAGAGATCACAGAGAAAACAAATAGTCTGTCAACACCTGACAGGTAAGGTTGCCTTGAACACAGACAGCCCACACCTTAGAAGGATTCATCTTGAAATCTGCCAACTTAATGTGAGAATGAGGGGAGCATTCAAGAGAAACCATTCCTGAAAGTCTAAATTTCTGGCCACTGTCTCTTATGGACATAGATATAACACCTAACCAAAACACTAGGAAACCAATTCTAGTCATTTATCAAAGGATATTGAAGCTGACAAAACTAGGTAGCCAATCCACATTAACAGATTGAAGGGAAAAAAGCATAACCATCTCAATAAATTCAACAAATGTGACAAGCTGCAATATTGTTTCATAATTAAAACCATTCCCCAAACCCTGAGGAACTGAAGGCAGACTTGGACGGCCCCTAAGTGATCTGAATGAGGAATGTCCCCACAGGCTCAGACATTTGCACGCTGTATAGGGAGGTTTGGGCGGGGCAGCCTTGATGGAGAATGCACTTCACTGGGGCTTTAAGATTAAAAGGTTGGAGGCACTTCCAGTTGGCTCTCTCCACTTCCTGCTCTATTTGAGATCTGAGCTCTTGGCTTCCTGCTCCTGCTGCCACGCCTGCTGCTCACTGCCATCCTTCCCTGTCACAATGGGTCTTATCCCTCTGGAACCTTAAGCTGAAATAATGACTTCCTTCTATAGCTACCTTGGTCATGGGATTTTTATCACAACAAAGGAAACATAGCTAAAACAGCCTCTAAGAAACCTTACAAGAACCATGAGAACTGATGGGAAAAACTAGACATTTCCTTCTTCCAAGATCAGGGAAAACAAAGTTACCCTCCATCAGCTTGTGCTGACATTTCTGGACATCGCACTAACAATAAGATGGGAAAACCCTGATAGGGAGGGGAAAAGGAAGAAGGAAGACAGGTAGATGGGTTGACTGCTAGAGATAAGGTCAGTTACATAAATCAATTATATTTCCACAGGCAAGAAATTTAGTTTTTCAAAGACAATATCTTAATATCAAACACTTAATAAATCAGACAAAATAGTGTCATCCCTATGTACAAAACCAAGTTCAAGGCTTTATTAAGAATAACTAAAGAACAACTAAGTAAATGACCAATGCATCATCATTCACAGATGGGTAAATTCAGTGTGTTAGACACTGGTCAGCTACCCCATCAAATGCCCAGGCAAGTTTTAGTGGACATATAATTTACTGAGATCATTATAAAATATATACAAGCATGCAAAGATCCAAAAACATCAAGTCCACATTGCAGAACCATCCCAAAGGACAGGGCTATTTGTAATAGTACCAATCCTGTTACAAAGCTACAGGGATCATGGGCTATGAATGACTAGTCACAAGGGAGCAAATCTCCAAACAGGCAATTAACTGTTATGGCAAAAAAATAACAGTTTTTTCTGTTCGGTCTTTCCAGGCAGTCTCTAGCACAAAACACAAGTAAAGGGAAACTTGACAGACCAGTGCATTCAGATGAGGAGCCCATACAAACTGGCTCTTTGTCCTTACTCGATAACCTCTTAATGCACAGAGCCTGATAAATCACTTGATTCTTCTTAATGCACCAAGAAACACTTTTACTTTCACAAATTATGTAATATCATTTACAGGGCCAAGTTCATTAAGATTCACAATGAGAAGTTTAAATAATAGTGACGTTTAATAATTAATAACTACTCAAAACTTAACAGTCAAATAACATTGTAATTTAATACATAAACTACATGTAGCTTATACTCACTTAAAAATGTTCTGTTAACAATAACTCAGCTATCACAGGTGATTAAAGTAATAATTAGGGATGAAGGATCCTGTCCAAAAGAGAAATAGCACAAACCCGTGAAGTCCAAGAGCCGTGCCTAGGGCTCACAGACAGCCAACTGCTCCACTGACCTGCTTCTTCTCATGACGCATCTCAGTAGGAGAAGCTCACAGCCTAGACTGCAACCTTCTCCAGGTGAGAGAAATCAGCTACTCATGGTCTTATTTTCTTAAAGCCCCCTTAGGTCAGAAAAACGAGGGACATAGAACAGAGAGGCAGCACTGGCCTTCCAGAAAGGACACATGGTAGTAAGGGCCTAAGGCACTATACATCCTCAGTTTTTAAAGTTTTAATTCGCATACTTCAAGTCTATAGACAAAAATTCCATGCATGCAAAAATGTCTTTTAGTAAAGATGAAAACTTCTAATACATCCTGCCAATTACAACTGCATATGGAGAAGAGACAGGTACTCATTCATTCCTTTAAGAGATACAATCAAGTCAGGCGATGGTGGCACATGCCTTTAATCCCGGCACTTGGGAGGCAAAAGCAGGTGGTTCTCTGTGAGTTCAAGGCCAGCCTGGTGGTCTACAAGAGTTAGTTCCAGGACAGCCTCCAAAGCCATAGAGAAAAACTGAGAGATACAATCAAGCATTATAGATAGATTTATAAAAAGTACTATGTACTATGGCGTGGGTAGATCTAAGTAGCCCCCAAGGGTCCATTGTGACTAAATGTGTAGCCTCAACAGAGTGCTACAGGGAGGTGACAAATCCTTTAAAGGGGAGCCAAGTAAGAGATTTCATATGTTATTGAGTATGTGCACTTGAACAGGGACTGTACCACCTTGATTATCATCTTTTTCTCTTCTCTGGTTGACATAACCAATTTGCTTCTACACTTGATCATGCCATGATTTGCCACCATCTTCTATTCTCACCAGAACTAAGCCATTGAAAGCATTTGACATGTCCCTGAATCTCGCCAGAAGTAAGCCAATGCAAGCATTTGACATGCCTCTGAAATCCACAATTGTTTGCTAAACAAACCTTTTATTATAACTGAGCTGCCTGCAGCATTTTGTTATAGTAATATAAAGATGAGTACTACAAAGAGTTAACACAGCGCATGACTTAATGTTTGGCCTGTGGTTATGCCAAACATCAAGATAACACACATTTACTGTCAACTGTATGAGGGACACTGTGTTTTTAGCTATTGATCACTTTACCTTCGCAGCAAGCTGTAGTCCAATTTTGTCAGCTTCCGCCTCCAGTGTTCTACTGTATGGTCTATCAAACATATACTAGGAAGAAACAGGACAGAAAAAACTCTATTAAGTAGATTGATTTCATGATCACAAGAATTCAAAAATGAATGTCAAATTAATTTCACAGAAAATCCAGTATGAAATGTCTATCCTCTGAGACATGAAATGTAAATGTGGCCATTGTTTCTTCCATTAGACTCCTACTTTAAACATGAAAATAAGAAGAGTTAGGTAGGTGCCTTCCTGGACAGCCTAGGCTGCCATTAGCTTATTATTTTCCACTTAAATTCTCCATTCCTGAAGAAAGAGCTCTAGAAACGCATACTGGAACAGACTATGACCAAAGAACGCTAATCTCACAGTTCTAAAGGGAAATCAGAAAAAAAAATGCAGGTATGTGAGAGCCAGTAACACTATCAGAAAACCTTAGTGGGAGAACTAACCACAGAGGAGAGCCCTGTGATTCATTATCTTCGTTTCCTTTTCTAAATACTGATTAGCTATGAAAATAAAATTTTCTTCTGACTTAAATTTTAAAAAACAAGCAGCTATCACAACTTTAATTTTCCCAATTACTTGTATTTATGAGAATGTTTTCCAATTAAATTCTAATTTATAGTAAGCATTAAAACTTTGTAGGAGCTGGATCAAGAGACAGGGCTTTTGATAAAGGGACTATTAATGCAGGAAGCAGCTTTGCAAACATAGCAACTCACTTGTGATGAATACAAGCAACCTAAGCCGCTGTTCACAGAGTGTGAGCATGGAGCATGGCTTCCTTCCCACTCAGTTACATCTGTTTTAGGCTGAAGAACTGCATGACTGGGGTCAGCACTCAGTGCATAGGCTGAGTGTGCACCACTGAGTGTGCTAACCCAATGAAGTATCAACTTCAACAGAAGAACTCATAGGGCCATATGCAAAATGGAGCTAGTAACCACAACTAACTCCTTGATTTGCACAGAGGATTACATGGGCCAGCAATAAAACTAATCATTCCTATTAACAGAGTTCTTACTTTGTGCCAGGTACTAAAGCACTGGTTCTCCAGCTGGTGTGATTTGTTTGTTCACTGACTCTTGGAGACACTGCAAATGTCTGCAGTTACAAGGTCATGGTGTTGTTACCTAAGTAGTCTCAAATACATGAACTCAAGCAAACCTCCTGCCTTAGCTCCTCAAGGAGGTGGGACTATAGTTGAATGCTACCATGCCAGCTTCCAGAGGCATTTTTAAAATTATTTTTCTATTCATTTTAATTATGTGTATAAGTGTTTTGCCTGGTGCACATGGAGGCCAAGAGGGCATCTAATCCCCTGATTACAGATGGTTGTGAGCCACCACCTGGGTTCTGGGAGCCAAACTGAATCCAGGTCCTCTACAAAAGTAACAAAGGCTCTTAACCACCTGAGCTTTGGAAAGCAAGAACCACAAGCATCTACTGAGCAGAGGCTGCATATGCCAGAAAACCCACAATAGCAGGTCAAGCCCCCACAGCACTAATAATCTGGACTAAACCATCAGAAGTTCTGAGTTTGAGTTAACAGAGGCGCGGTGTACCATTCAGTCACCACAGTAAAGAAGTGAATGGCAGGAAAGGAATGTGGGCAACTCCCACTCCACAGTGAATCACTGCCAGCATTCCTTCATGCTCCCAAAACACGGTGAGTGGGGCACTGCAGAGAGAAAGACATCTCTTGGCAACAGGGTCACTGAGGGGGGGAGAGAATCCACACCAAAGGCATCCCTGTCCCCCAGTTTAATTACTAAGCTGAAAAATTACACCTAAGAGGCAAGGTTCATTTAGTACTTCAAGACTGCATGACCTTTGTTAGCATCAGTTCTTCTGATTCTATTATTTTAAAAAGCTTCTCTTTGTAAACAAGGGAACACTACATCAACTCCATTGACAGCCCAGCAGGTCAGTGACAGAACAAAGTTCCAAACATGACACACTACCATCTGAACCTAATTGTTCTTTCTTCTTCATTCTGGCTAACATGGCTAACTCAGTGACTTGGCATTCTGAACAATGAGAGATTTAGTCATCGGATGATTGTTATTATCAGCACTAAAGCACCTAAAACTTCCCCCCCACCCCCCCACCCCCGTGTGTTCTAGGCAGCATTGGTTTAACTGCATTGGCAACAATGGAGAATGATATGAAGCTACAGTCAGTCCCATGCTCATTAGAACCTCAGGCTTCTTGGAAGAGCTCTCTGGAGGAAGGATAGCACTGTCACAGTGAGAAGAGAAGGACCAGTGACTAGGTTTTTTTCTCTGTGATAACAGTTGGGGGGGGTGGGGGAGTAGCTCTTTTAGTCAATCCTTACATATCACCAGACAGATGTAGAATTCCTTAATTAAATGCTATACGGGAGCGGCACCTAAAAATGAAAACCAGGCTAAAATCCCATCTGATTCCAACAGATGTTAATAGTTGTGAAACACACTGCTTTACATGGCTACTGTTACATGTCCACCACAGGCCATCACAGACTTACCTCCTGTAACTTTGATTGTATCCACTGGCCCAGAAGTGCCAAGCTGTCTCGTGGACAAACAGCCCAAATCATTGTGAGAAAAATCATGCCAAGGAAATCCAGTAAGTGAGCCACGCTAGCCTTTTCTGCCTGAGAACAATAAAATGATGAAAATCACATTTAGTAAATGGAGACAGTGCATAGTCACATGTTCTAGCTACCACTTAATTATACTAAATGAATACGTGTGTTCAACTGGCCAACGTGAACAAAGATCCGAATTTTTAAAATTATCTTATTATGTTTATTTCTTATTTGTGTGTATATGTGAGGCTTGTGCATGCCACACTACCAGGAGGTCAGAGGACAACTTGTGGGAATCCGTTCTCTCCTCCCACGTGTGGGACCCGGGATCTAACTCATGCTGTCAGGATTGGACCAGAGTTTTTACTAGCCAAGCCATCTCAACAACCAAAGACCCAGATTTCTTCCCTCATGTCCATACTATCTCCCGGAATATCCCCTTTTCTTTATTTACACACTTGTGAGTCATTTACACCTTTAACATTTTACTACTTTTGCTGAGCTAATTATTCATTGTCAGAGACAGTGACAATTAATAAACTAGTTCTTATATTAGTCATCATGATTCCTCTGGTACAATAAGCTCCATTTTATAGATAATGCAATGGAAATGGAGATTTTATGATTGCCCAAAATTCACACATCTATTAGTAAAAGGACCAGAAAAATCCAAGCCAAGGTTATTTTGGTTTCTAATGTAAACACTATAAGCTACACATCAAATAAAAGTATTTATCACACTTGCATTGTTACATAAAGCCTAAGTATACATAATAGATAATGCACTTAAGACAAGAAAATTCAGAAAGAGGAAAGAAGCTTAATTAAAACAAAGGTATTTTGGTGTTTATGACCTAATACATGAAAGCATAACTCACACACAACTTTTCAATTGTGAAAGTTTGGTATTTCTCACTGAGGGTTGGGTTCTGTGGGTTGTGAACATACTCATAACAATAACAGAAAAGGTCTGTATAAAGTGTGTGTTCTGCCCAGTGATGTCTAGCTAAACGCACAGGCTCATTCACCACTCACAAGACTTCGGACTAGTGTGTGTTAGCGCAATGCTGATGCAGCGTCTGTACCAGTCATTAGCTGAATGGACACAACATGGCTGAAAACTAAAATCAGACTATAACTGTCACAAGATAATCTTCACTAGCAAAACAGCAATCACGTAACGGTTGTTAGCTGTAAAACAGTTACTGAATTCTTTTACCATGAAAGACTGAAGTCAAAATGACAGCGTTTATGAAGACAACAACCTTGTTATGGATTATTAAGCAGTATAACTGCTATTAGTCTTAAAAATAGGAATATTTTTAAAACTATGTATTTATAGGAAAAAAGGAAACAGCAAAAAAGTCAGGTTTAACCAAAATTAAGACTTCCAAAAGAGAAAATACTGTGTTGATAAAAGAAAACTTTGTCAAAGAAACAGTAACTGTTTTCCATCATGGCTGTTCCCTGCCTCTTCTGTTTCCTCTGACTGCCATTCTACCCTGGTGGGTGGTAACCCTATACTGACAGGCACTAACTGAATGCTAGAAATCAAGTCAGCTGAATGGTACCACCTTTTAAAGAGACAGCAGCCACAGCTGATTTACTGTTGCAGTTATGACACAGCAATACATTTTTCTGAAAATATATCTCCTGACCACAAGAAAATGAATTTTTTCCAGACCTCACAGCCAATTTTATAATTACCATAAGGTCATTTAACATTATATACTTAACCTGCCGTCCTACAGTGTACTCAGCCTGTTTAACATGCCTTTAAGAAACAATGTAACCAACCTTACTATGCCTTGGATTTCTAATGCAATCAGCTTTTACAACATAAGCTAATGCGTAGCTTTAATCTTAAATAATGTTACTTTTCCATGCCCTGACCCAGAATGTGTGTGTGTGTGTGTGTGTGTGTGTGTGTGTGTGTGTGTGTATGTATGTATGTGTGTGTGTGTGTTTTGGTGTGAGTGTATGTGTGTGTGTGTGTGTGTGTGTTTGGTGGCAATCACTTCCTGCCAACAGCCAACAGGCTGAAAGCAACCTTAAACAATAAATCTCCCATAATAGTTGGAAGTAACACATAGATGAATGTTGGTAGCATCTACTTGCAATGTTGGGTGCTATTCTGGGTCAGATGGTATCAGTAAAGTCACATCTTCCCTTGTAAAACCATTAAAGATCTCTGTTTAAAGATTATCATGTTTTCTGTGCTGTTCAATAGACACGACCAAAGTCCTTTGTTAGGGACAGGCATAAACAAAGATACACACACAGACATATGCAACAGGGACAGATAGATCACACACATAAATGCCAGAGGCAGACGGAAGACACAGGGAGAGAATTGGAGAAATCAAATTTGGGCTTACACTTTGTCAAACTAACCCAAGAGACAGTTTCTGCCTCAGTCATTAACACATCACTGGTGCATTGATACCATTATTTGAGAGATGGTGGAATACACTATAATGATACTATTTCTATTGCTCAGATTTATTTTTGTAAATGTTTAGGGAAAATATTTTTAAAACATTTTCATGTAGCTCAAAAGAAATCAGGGATGATTCAAACAAGAACAACTTTGGCCTAGCTCATTTTATTATTCCTCTGAAGAATAGGTAGAATTTTAAATGACTTTGACAAAGATTAATAAACATTATAGTTTCCTTTTGAAGTTAATAACATTTACACTGATGATTTAGCATATTGTTATCCTTTCACAAATATTTCCAGCTAAAAAATAAAAATATACTCATCTCTATTTATACACAAAAGACCCATTCACATTTCATTTTTAATGACTAGCAGTCAAAAATGAGTACAAAAATATGCTTTGTGTGTTATTAAAGACTGAAGTGGCCACTGTTAGTCTTTTAAATGTTAGTTTCCTAATATATAAACCAGGGGTGATAAATACACTCATAAGTTGCTAAACCTCTGAATGAGAAGGAACATATTTGATGAAGCTCAATAAACTATTCTGGCAAGATATCATTACTGCTCCACATTCAGATGGTATTGCATATATTTAGATATTTCTCAACAATATTCCAAGCTATCTTCTGAAAAGGAGGAAGAATAAAACTGACTTACCACTTAAATAGTAGTATCACTTTCCAACAATTAGTTTTCTGACTAGATTATAAGTATGTTAATAATTATGGAAGTTTAAGTTTTAATGTGAAATAATTAGAGGTTGAGACTAATTACTTTTTAGCAAAAGAGACAGGTGATAAAAACAGTATTTAAGAGAAACACTAATTATTCAGTATCATATACTAAAGACTGCAAAAGTCTCAAAACTAGCTAATCACATTTTTTTCAGGTACAGAATAAGGCAATTACATTCCGTCATTAAAAGAAGAAAAGACAATCCTGAAAAGACTGGGTTCCTTAAAGGCTACATCTTGCTAATATCAAAGCAACATTCAATAGCTGCACATCACGTGGATACTCACAGCATGCCCCAGGACCGCATGTGCAATCTCATGGCCCAGAAGGAAGGAGAGCTGGTGAGTATCCGTTACACTATTCAAAAGCCCAGTGAAAACAAACACCTGTCCGTTCTGCACATAAAAAGAGTAATATGAGCAATTAGCACACAGTAAAGTTTAAAGATGGTAAGGCTTGCCACAAAAATATATTTTAAAGTATTTACTTACTGGAAGAACAAAGGCATTTACATCTGGGGAATCAACCACATGAATCACCCAGTTGATCTCAGAGATCCCTGGGACATCTTGATTGCATTGTGTTAGATGATACACCACTTCTTTAACAGTCAGGAACCGGGGGTCTCTCTCAGGCAGCATATTGTTTTTAAATTCTTCCACCCACTAAAAGATTTTATAAAAAGTTTTGTTTAGGAGTTTTTGCACTACAAAATGCTTATGCTGCTACATGAGAAGTGCTTCATTTGACATATATTAAACACTCATATTCCTGAAATTTGAATTATCCACATAAAAGCAGTATAGTTACAAGATTTATTCATATAAACATAATTCAATCCAAATTTTATTCTTCTTTTCTTTTAATCTACATGCAAATAAAATGCTTAAATATTTCTGCCTTCCTATGAATTTCATAAAACAAAACTGCCTAGATAACAAAGGATTCACATTAAAAACTTCATATAAAAAGGAAAAATGCATGGCTGGGGAATGGCCAGGGAATGACTGGGGATATAGCTCAGTTGGCAGAGTGTGGTCACTCTCATACATATGCAAAGTCTGAGTTCAACTCTCAGCACAGCATAAACCAGTGTGGTTACACATCCTTGTAATCTGACCACTGGAAAGGAGGATCCAGGATGATTAGAAGACAGCACTGTCTGCTGCACAATAAGTTCAAGGCCAGCCTGAGATACAAGAAACCCAGAGAATGTAAAAGAAAATGAATTACTTTCATAATCCATTAAACAGAAGAATATCATATTCATAATATAGACTTAGGCTTTTACAAAAGAGATAATATCTCACTGATTGTAAAGTTTGATCCACACAGACTGAAAATCACTAAGATCTCAGAATTAATGAGCTAATCATTTTCTGCTGATGCTGATTCAGAAGCCTAGCTATCTCAAATATGAAAACATTTTTGAGAGATTCTGTCATATATACTAAGAATATTAAGGATGCTCTACAAATATTTTAATTCCCATAAAAATACATGAATATATGAATGGATTTGTATATCTGTATATATAATATGTATACATATGGATCTGTATTATGCATAAGTGTGTTTGTATGATTAGACATTTTTATTGCTTGAGCTATTGGTCGGTGAATCCAAACATTCTTATAGAGCTGTTATAAAGTCCCCTAATTATATAGTGTGCAAACAGTGTTGTCAGCTTGACAAAGCTACAATCACCTGAGATACGAAGGGGCCTCAACTGAGAAAAGGCCTACATAAATGTGGCCCACAGGCAAGGCTAAGATTCATTGTCTTGATTAGTGACTGATGGGAAGGCCCAGCTCACTGTTAGGAGTGTCATCCTCAGGTAGGTGGTCCTGGGATGTATAAGAAACAGAGTAAGCAAGCCATGAGGAGAACACCAGGAAACCACGTACTCCCGGGGCTTCTGCCTTAGTTCCTGTCACCAGGCACTTGTCTTGAGTCCCTGCCTTGACTCCTTGGATGATGGACTGTGGCCTGAGAGTCTAGGATGAGTGAACCCCTTCTTCCCCAGGTGGCTTTTGGCCATTGTGTTTATCACAGCAACAGGCAGCAAACCAAGATAAAGAGACTCTTAGAGGACTTTTAAAAATTGTTTACTTTGTTGAATTAGTCTTTAAAAATGGTAATCGACATAGTCTTTAAGTTCATATTCTATGAAGGCATATATTTAAGTGCACCTTGAAAACGCTTTCAACTGGATTTATATTTATATTTTTATGCAGGCATTTTCTCAATTGCAGCTCCTTCATCTCTCGGATGATTCTAGTTTTGTCAAGTTGACAATACTAATTTTCATACTATGTAATTAAAGAACTTTATAACAGCTCTATAAGAATGTTTGGATTCAAAGACCAATAGCTCAAGCAATAAAAATGTCTAATCATACAAACACAATTATATCCATATGTATACACACAGAATATACATATATACAAATCCATTCGTATATTCATATATTTTAAATTTTTAAGCTATCTGAATGGTAGAAGATATACCAATTTCATAAAGGTTTGTTCCAATCTTTCTAAATATTTTTCTCAACATATCTTCCCATTAATACTAAGTTCTAGGAGACATTTTAAATTTCTGTATATATTCTCCTAAGACACTGTCATTTTAATTAAGACCAATTGTTATAGTAAAAAGTCATTGCTATCTGTGGTGTTTAAAAGAAAATGGTCCCCAAAGGGAGTGGCACTATTAGGAAGTGTAGCCTTGTTGGAGTAGGTGTGGCCTTGCTAGAGGAAGTGTGTCTCAATGGAGGTGGGCTCTGAGGTCTCATATATACTCAAGCCATGCCCATTGTCTTAGTTCACCTCCTGTTGCCTTTGAATCAAGATGTAGAATTCTCCAGAACCATGTCTGCTTGTGTGCTGCCATACTCCCAGCTGCCATGCTCCCTCCCATAATGATACAGGACTAAACTCTGAAACTCTAAGCTTCCACCTCAATTAAATGTTTTCCTTTTTAAGCGTCACCATGGTCACGGTGTCTTTTCACAGCAATAGAAACCCTAACTAGACACTATCAATGATAACTTTCCTTTGACAAGCTCATGTATTCATTTGCATTAAGCAGATATGAAGACCTGAGTACCCTGGAGCCATAGCCTATTCAACCAATGGCATTCAGCACATCCCTGTAAGTGAGAAATATGGGAAGGCAATGATGGTCCCCATCCTAGAGGACACGAGGGCACAAACTGTGTAATGTGTCACTCCCTAAGTTATACTTCTCAAGGAGTTAAGATTGCCGAGTCCCACCCTTATTGAGCATTCAGAAAACAAGTGATTATGGTGACACACATGGGCAACCTCAGCATTTAGGAGGCCAAGATGTAAGGGTCACAGGTTGAAGGCCAACCCGAGGCCACAAGGCAAAACTCTGTTTTAAGAAGAAAAAAAAGCCGGGCGGTGGTGGCGCATGCCTTTAATCCCACAACTGGGGAAGCAGAGGCAGGCAGATCTCTGTGAGTTTGAGGCCGGGCTGGACCGACAGCCTCCAAAACAATACAGAGAAACCCTGTCTCGAAAAACCAAAAAAAAAAAAAAAAAAGAAAAAAAAAAAAGAAAAAAAATGGCAGAAAATACAATAAAATTTTACAAGCCAAAATTTCTATTTGGAAAAATTACAACTTGAATTTCAAAGTATAAAAATTCTCAAAACATAATTAGTTATTTGATACATTAAAACTAAGCACTTGTGCTGGGCGTTGGTGGTGCATGCCTTTAATCCCACAACTCAGGAGGCAGAGGCAGCCAGATCTCTGTGAGTTCAAGACCAGCCTGGTCTACAAGAGATAGTTCCAGGACAGCCTTCAAAGCCACAGAGAAACCCTGTCTCAAAAAACAAAAAAACAAAACAAAAAACTAAGCACTTGTTTGATACATAACAATTAAGCACTATTTTGCATGGTGTGTTAGTTGTTAGGATGAATACACAAACCAAGACTGTTGGTCCCACAGAGCTTAGCCTAATAAGGCAGATGGACACAGAACACATTAAGTTTCCCTCGGGTAAAAAAAGCAACGAAAAGGAAAACCAGCACTGCTGAGCACGGAGCACAATCACAGAGATCAGTTCCCAGCTCAGCCTGATCTAGTCACCCTGTGTGAGCCAGTCTGGGCATCAAGCCAGGCTTTCCTGAGCAGGCGACAGTGAAATCCAGACTTGAGCAGAGCAGGGGCTACCTGGGTGGAGGGGGAAGCCACTGCACATGGTGCAAAGCCTTTCCCGGGTATGAGATCTGGGGGAAAATTACGTGTGCTATATCAAAAGCTAAACTGAAAAGCAGTGCACCTTCCGTATTCAAAGAAGCCTCCTGCTTTGGCGCTGCCTTACACAGTCTAGTGAAGGGCAGTGCTTGCGGCTTACCATTTTGTATTCCATGTCTGACAGAAGTCTGAAGTGGTCCTTCCCCAGTAACAACAGTTTGCTCCTTCCGGTCACAGGACTCACTTCCAGGTGCGTGAAATAAAACACTAGGAACAGCATCCCAGAGGCACTCAGACCAAGGAGCAACTTCCATTTATTCTTCTTCACACTGTCTTTAAATAGCTCCTTCTTGTTAGGAGGAAGTGCTTGCCACCATTTCCTTATGCCCCTGCGCCAAACCAGAAAGGAGAGCTGCTAAGTGCATGCTCACATCCCAACAAAACTCCCACACATGTGCTAGGATTTTCGATCTTTATGTTTCTCTGTACACACAGCTTTAGAACATTCTTAGCTAAAGGATGAAAAAGTCACCGACTCTATAAAGCCATACTTAAAAATCCTAAGGCTCGTTTGAATTTCCCTCTTCAGCTAAAAGGCAAACACTAAACTGAGGAGCCGTTTTATAGCTACCACTAACCAAGACTTACTATGAAGGGCTGCTCTAATCATTATGCACGTGTCAGCTCATTTGCTCTGCCTAATAGCTTGTTACAGAGAACAACCTAGCCAAGGTCACAGGTAGCCAGAGGAAAACCTGGGGGTAAAGGGAATGCCATTCCTGAGACTGACCACCTAACCACTTAACACGAACAAAGTACCCAGACGATCACCTTGGGGTCATGAAGGATAAATCTGTTCTTCCCACTGCACCTCAGACTCCGGCTCAATCTGCCATGCTCCAGCAAGGAACAAGAGACGCTGCCTTGGCCTGACATTTCTATATAGTAAACTTATTTCAAGATTATTAAATCACACATAAGAAGACTGGTAGAACTTACCTTTGGAAACTCAAACTCTAAACTGAATATGGTATAGGGGAAAGTTTCTCTAAAAGTAGAGTTTTATAAAATACTAAAGTTTAATTATTAAAAATTATTGCAAGTTGATACAAATGTAAACATAAAAACTTCATGAACTTTAGCACAAATGCCACCCCCACCACCATTACCACCACCCCTGCTCTGCCCCAGGTATTGTTACCTGCCCACAATGATGGCAAGGAGCTTCTGCACTGGTTTCAGAATGAGCAGCAGGAGAGGCACTGGGGCGGCCTGAACCGGTGGAGATGTGTGGAAACTTCGGGAAGCTCTTACCGAAGGGCAGCTCTGAGCACATGGGACGGTAAGAGCAAGATTGCCAACCGCTTTCCTGGCTCCTCGCCTTGGAAAAGCATCATCCCACACAGTACATTTGCAGGTAAGCGTCCCCATTTCCCGGCCTTGGGCATTTGAGAAGCATCCTGATTTTCCGTTGCTGAGAGTCCTACAGAAATGCAAGTTGCCAGGTAGTAAGGTCACCGAACGACACTGGCTGACTGTGTTAAGTCCCCAGCCTGCAGTCACTACTCGGGTCCTTCGCACTTGTGGACAACCTGCTGGTGGTTTCCACTGTCTCCAGCTGGCCAGGGAATGCACTCCAGAGACGAAACGGTTTCTCGAGGCACACTGCAGTCCATAAAGGAAGCTCATCTTGCTCTTGCTCGGTTATCTAAACATAAAACACAAAATGTGGAAAATATGTATTTACAAACTGGGAATGTTAAAAACCCCAGTGTTTCCGCCCATCGCCCACAGCAGCGCCTTTCAACAGAACAAACCAAAGGAGCCCATACACATGCGCACATAGCATTAGTTCACTACACAGTGCTTATTTTCACTCCTCAATCTTTTCACTTCATTAAAAAAAAAGTCTTGGTTTTATTTTACTGCAGGGAATCAATATGATCAGAAAATCATTTGGCAGGAATGAGAAATAGCTTAATTAAAACGGCAATAAATTTGTATCAGTTGACAAACAAGAATATAATGGGATAGAAAAGCCTAACTTACATAATTCAAATGTATTCTTTCAAATGAAACCAAGAGATTTAGCCAGGCATGGGAGAGAGAGAGAGAGAGAGAGAGAGAGAGAGAGAGAGAGAGAGAGAGAGAGAGAGAGAGAGAGAGAGAGAGAGAGAGATCAGGATGTAGGAGAGAGGCTTCAATGCCACCTGAAAATAGCTTTAAAATCAGAATACTTTAATAAGAAGGGTTTCAACATACTTGGCAGTAAGCAATGAAGAGCAGAAAGAGGAAACAACATGAGCACCTAGGGCTGCTGGAGAAAATTGCCTGATGAGTTTCCAAAACACACAGGCAGGAGAGACAGGCCCCTTAGCTGCCCTAACCTGACAGTGTGAAGCTGGGAGCTCCTGTGAACCAGGTATCTGGATCTTATGGACAGAGGATGTCACACAGAACAACATGGAGAAAATGCAGGGTCTACAGAGGCCCCTCCCTATTCCACTGAGTACTATTTGATCCTGTGAGTGAAGAAATCCTCCCTGGCGCTTGGAAAGAACCATCAGTGCAGGGCACAATGCACAGGGCAGAGGGCACTGCCTGCTCCCATTGATCAAAGTGAGAAAACTTAGCTTTTGAAATTCACTGCCATTAGGTGGAAGAGTCTGGCCTCGGCACTACAGGAGAACTAGTACTGCTCTGGGAGCTGCTCTGCCCGAGTACTGAAGACTAAAACAAACACTGGTGAGCGGCTTCCTAGCTTGTGGGTAAGATCCAACTTGGTACAAAGATGCTCAGAAAGATCAAGCTGTTTCTAATAACGACACCCCAGATTTACTTCAAACAACCTCAAGAATCAAAACTACCTGGCACTTAGTAACATACAGTTTACAATTTAAAATTATCAAGCAGGAAATGAAATGAGCAGGGAGAAGAAATATTAATCAAAAGAAACTAGTGCCTAAGTAATACAAAGTAATACAAATACAAAGCATTAGTAGACAACAATATTTGAGTCATTGTTTTAACTTTATTCCCAGTGTTAAAGCAACTACAGAAAAATTCTGAACATGTTTTATACAGACATAGAATGCATATTTTTGTAAGACTATCTTCAACTTCTAAATAAAACCACAAAATTGAGGATGAAAAGCACACTGAGCAACATTTACAGCAGATTGGTCCTGGTGGGAATAAGGACTTGTGAACTTAATGACCACTCAGAGCTAAAGCAAACTGACAGAAAATGCAGGAGGCATCAATGACATAGCTTAATCCTCTCATGACTAGAGTCCTCAAATGAGGCAAGTGTGGGTAAGAGAAAAAGATCTCAAAGAAGCAGTGGCCAAAGACTGACCAAACCTAAGGAAAGCTGTAAACCTATGAAGTTCAGTGAACCACAGAGAAAAACACAAAGGAGACTTAGGTCGTAGACCTGCCACGGGTCAGCGGTCTAGCTACTTCTACAGCCCTGCTCTCTATCCTGCAGCAGGTGGGCAGCAACTGCAACAGACTCCCTCCTCCATCTTCATAGCTACAAGAAACGCAGTCTGTCCAGCCCCAAGCCTTGACTTACAGCTTTGTTTTCATCTAAATGTCTACAAACTATCCAGCTTCCCAGACAGGGGTTCCTTGTATTCCTTGTAATGACAATCAAATATGACGTTAGTGCACACACACACACCCACTCAAACTTAGAAAAGGAATTTCTTTTGCTTCTTCAAGCTCCCCTTAGGTGAGAATCTGGGTTCCAGTCTCCAGCATGGTGGTCAGTGTTATTAAAAGTACCTGTTTATCTAAAGTTAAGTTTCAGCACCTGTACTACCGAACCAACTCCCAAACCTCCATCCTTATCTAACCGGAACAACTCCTAAACACAATCAAAGAAAAAAAAAGGTCACATTTGACATCTTAAGTAAAATAAATGGACCCTTTGAAAATACAAACTACCATAGCTCACTCAAGAAAACGTAAAGAGCCCTATAACTACTTTACACTCTATGGTTTGAACATGTGTAAACAACTGTGTACCAATCAACTATTTTTGAAAGGTACTGAGAAGGGCTAGGAAGGAAGCTCAGCAGGTTAGGGCACTTGTCACCAAGCTGATGACCTGAGATTATCTCCAGGACCCACATGAGTGGAAGAACCAACTCCTTTAAGTTGTTCTGTGATACCCATACATGTGTTATGACATACGCATACATACGGACACACACGCGCACACACACACACACAAATAGATATTGGGAGAAAAAAGAATCATCAAATATATTGGATAAATTCTATAGTTCAAAAGAAAACATCAGCTTCAGAAGTGAGACAAATGTGTGAGTCTGAACACATATTTGTTGTTGCACATTTGTAACATATTTGTTGTTACTTTCCCTAGATGATAACAATATGGAGGTGAATATCTCATTCCTGATGCATGTGGTGAAATATCTATCCATGAATGAAACTTCCAAGTACTCTTGTAAATACATGCACACATGCACACCTCTACACAACTGTACTTCCACACACACACACATACACACAGGATGCTGTACGTACCAATGATTTTATCTATGTGGTTAATATGTATGTTCCTTAAATTTTCTTTCAATTTTTCTAAATGCTTAAAATCTTTATGGGGAAGTGCTGTAAAACTAACCTTAGTAATACAGTATTAATACCTAAAAAGATGTTTCAGAACTGCCAATTTTAGTGACTAATATCTACATTTGGCAATCTGAAGGCTATTACATTATACTTTTATGTACCTTGTACATTTACCTTTCTGTGATTAATTTATAAAGTGAAAACTAACCCCATGGTATCCCTTTTTGAGTTACTACCAATTAAAAATGAGTAGAGTCAACTTAAGCTATTAATAGCTTGACATTAACAAGATACTTTCTGTTGCAGTTTATTTGATCACACTGTGGCACTCTGAGACTGTTAATAAAGCTAAACTTGGATCGGGGGCGGAGCCAGAGACTTGCTGACAAGAAATGACCATAGAGATTTTGGAGGACTGAAGATACAATAGAAAGACACAGGAAGGAGTAGGAAGGGGCTTAGAGAAATCCATAGGCCTTTTAGATCTTGGGTTGTGTAGAGAAATGGATACCTGGTCACTCCTCAGCCACTTCTTTCATCCATCAGGGTTTTACCCCGATATTTGACTCCTGAGTTTTTACTGATAATAGAACAATTTAGATAAACGCTTCAGCTTTCTAGCTTTTTTCTTCTGTGTTGCATTAAACTGAGAAGTGAAATGATAATAATGATGATGATGAAGAGGAGGAGGATAATTTACACCTGAAAATTATTTCAAACTTGTAGCCATGTGTCATGTATGGAAAAGTGACTGAGAACTGCACTGTTAGGCCTCCTCACCATGCAGACAGAGCCCTTCCTCAGACCTAGATGACATAGGTCAGACACTCCAGGTACTCTTGACACACTCAAGAGATGCAGATAACAGATGTATGGGGCTGCTGCTGGTACAACACAGACTCCTGTCTACAGTAGCTGTTTTTAAAAGTAGAAGCAATACCATCTATGGTGTTAAGAGAAAACACATCATTACCATTAGAAAGTACTACATGCTATATATAGCTGAAGGTCCTCTATGTGAGTAATCCCATAGACTGCATTAAGACAGATACTATGTCACTAGGCAACAGGAGTGTCTGGGCTCCATAGTAACCTAATGGAACCATCCTCACATATTTGAATAAGTCATTGGATTTTTTGCTGGCTAAGTGGTATGGAAATTACAGAAAGAGCATAAAATATAGTCCTTATCCTTGTGGAGGTGGCATTCTAATAAAAAAGACAAAAATATATAAAATTTATTAATGCCATGTGCTCTGAAAAATAAAACAAAAGAGTAAGATATTCTAGAGCAGTGGGTTGGCTATCCAAGGCAAAAGTATCTCTCATGCCATTTGGATAGAAGAAAGACAAAAAAAAAAAGAATTGTTGCATACAGAAAAGCATAATGAATCTTTTTTTATTAGAAATCAAATTACAAAAACAGCATGAATGCATTTCCTTTCCTTCAAATCTGATGACTTACTGTCATAAAGCTTTAACATTTGTCTGGTCATAGCCTCAACTTAGGGAATAGGCCAGCAGGTCATGTTAGTCCCTAATGACCATTGGTCTCAAAGCCAACAGTAGGCACCTACCACAGGGTCACTTTCACATTAAGCATATCTAGCATAGGAATATAAAGAAATGTGTAGGTAGGGTCTGTAGTTGGTGCTGCAGAAAACCAAGCCCATGCAAGCTGGATGGTGAGGAAAAGCTCTGCAAATGCTTGCACAGAAAGGACAAAGGAATACACCCTTGGGAAGTGAGAGACCACAGAGGGAGGGGGAGGGAAGGGGAGGGGATGAGAGGAGGAGGGAGAGGGGGAGAAGAAAAGGGGAGGGAGGGAGGGAAACTACTCTCTGAGGCACATGAACTCCTGAAGGCATTCCTGTTCTCTGAGACCCCGCTGTGCCTTCCATATCTGACTGAGCTTCAGAAGCTCTCTAAAGTAATTCCTTCTCTTCACCCAGTGTCAGTGTCTCACAAACAAATGATCTCAAAGACATTTTCATGGTAGGGGGGCAGCTGCAGAAGTTCATGCGCAGGTTAATATTTCCATGTTATATGTGTCACGAAGCAATCTGTGGGAGACCCCTTACACAAACTTGCCAATCTTCCTGAGACTAAGCTCCAAACTATACTGGATTAGCCCTAGGACTTTTAACACCCAAAATATCAAAGGCCACTTTAAGTCAGTCCTGCCGGTCTACCTCCTTATGGCCTCAGCCCAGCTCACCCTGGGTTCTGTGACCTGCCTGTAGATTTTACTATACTGTTTATTTATTTATTTATTTTGTTTGGTTGGTTGGTTGGTTTTGTTTTTCAAGACAGGGTTTCTCGGCTGTCCTGGAACTAGCTCTTGTAGACCAGGCTGACATTAAACTCACAGAGATCCACCGGCCTCTGCCTCCCGAGTGCTGGGATTAAAGGCATGTGCCACGACCACCCAGTTTACTATACTCTTTAACCACTCTGCTTTAGCCCACTACCAACCCCTTCTCCAAGCAACCTAAGCAATCCTTAAGAAATGCAAATCAGAAAAAAACCAAAAAAAAAAAATGCAAATCAGGTGGTGGCACACACCTTTAACCCCAGCACTAGGGAGGCAGGTCAATCTCTGTGAAGCTAGCCTGGTCTCAAAGCAAGTTCCAGGACAGTCAGAGCTGTTATACAGAAAAACCCTGCCTTGGGGGGGGTGGAGAGAGAAGAAAAGAAAGAAAAAAGAGCAAATCAACCCCAGAAATCTAACCCAAAGAGTCGCACCATTAAAGATTATATTTTTAATGAAAATACAGAGCTCTGACCACAACAAAGAGATATGCTAACCTAAAACAACAGCAGTAAGTGCTACCTGCAGGTGCCTTGAAGCTAGTGTGCTACGGCTGGCCTGTACTCCAGCACTTGAGACACAGAGCTGTTCAAGATCACTTGAAAAACAAGACTTCGTGTACAACAGGATAGCAGCAAACGAAAAGTTGAACATCAAAAGCAAGACTGCATAAAACTTCCTGCAGAAATGCTCTCTGTGCTATCCAATATGGCAGCCCTGGCACGTGGCTAGGTGCACCAAAGGAACAGAATCTGAAAAAGAAATCAGAGAAACATCACCCTTTACAATTGCCACAGACAACATAAAATACCTTGGGGTAACGCTAACCAAACAAGTGAAAGACCTGTATCACAAGAACTTTGAATCTTTAAAGAAAGAAATTAAAGAAGCCCTCAGAAAATGGAAAGATCTCCCATGCTCTTGGATAGGTAGGATCAATGTAGTAAAAATGGCAATCCTGCCAAAAGCAATCTACAGATTCAATGCAATCCCCATTAAAATCCCAGCACAATTCTTCACAGACCTTGAAAGAACAATAATCAATTTTGTATGGAAAAACAAAAGACCCAGGATAGCCAAAACAACCCTGTTCAACAAGGCAACGTCTGGAGGCATCCCCATCTCTGACCTCCAGCTCTATTCTAGAGATATAGTCCTGAAAACAGCTTGGTATTGGCACAAAAATAGACAGGTAGACCAATGGAATCGAATTGAAAACCCAGATATTAACCCACACACGTATGAACATCTGATCTTTGACAAAGAAGCTAAAAATATACAATGGAATAAAGAAAGCATCTTCAACAAATGGTGCTGGCATAATTGGAGACTGGCATGTAGAAGAATGCGGATCGATCCATGTTTATCGCCATGCACAAAGCTTAAGTCCAAATGGATCAAAGACCTCAACATAAATCCAGCCACACTGAACCTCTTAGAAGAGAAAGTGGGTGGTACCCTTGAACGAATTGGTACAGGAGACAGCTTCCTGAACATAACACCAGTAGCACAGACAGTGAGATCAACAATTAATAAATGGGACCTCCTGAAACTGAGACGCTTCTGTAAGGCAAAGGACACAGTCAGCAAGACAAAAAGGCAGCCCACAGAACGGGAAAAAATATTCACTAATCCCACATCTGACAGAGGGTTGAGCTCCAAAATTTACAAAGAACTCAAGAAGCAAGTCTCCAAAACATCAAAGGACCCAATTAAAAAGTGGGCTGCAGAACTAAATAGAGAATTTTCAATAGAGGAGTCTAAAATGGCTGAGAGGCACTTGAGAAAGTGCTCAACATCCTTAGCCATCCGGGAAATGCAAATCAAAACAACTCTGAGATACCATCTCACTCATGTCAGAATGGCTAAAATGAAAAACACCAATGACAATTTATGCTGGAGAGGATGTGGTGAAAGGGGTAAACTCCTCCATTGCTGGTGGGAGTGCCAACTGGTTCAGCCACTTTGGAAATCAGTATGGAGATTCCTCAGAAAAATGGGAATAAACCTACCACAAGACCCAGCAACTCCACTCTTAGGCATATATCCAAGAGATGCCCATTCATACAACAAAGATGTCTGTTCCACTATGTTCATAGCAGCATTATTTGTAATAGCCAGAACTTGGAAGCAACCTAGATGCCCCTCAACTGAAGAGTGGATAGAAAAAAGGTGGTACATTTACACAATGGAGTACTATTCAGCAGAAAAAAAACAATGGAATCCTGAGATTCACAGGCAAATGGATGACACTAGAAGAAACCATCCTGAGTGAGGTAACCCAGTCACAAAAAGAGAAACATGGCATGTACTCTCTCATATATGGATTTTAGACATAGATCTGGGGAATGCCAGCCTACAATCCCATGGCCAGAGAGTCTGGGAAACAGAAACTTCATTCAGTGGCTGATCGAAAAAGAGGCAGATTCCCTCGTTTATGTACTGAGCTGAACTCAAGAAAGCCAGGAACAGAGAGGGAGGACTGATGACCAAAGGGATTAAGACTGGGCTGGTTTAACCCCCAGAAACAGCTGACCTGACAAAGGTTAACTCTTGAATCCCAGGCATCAGCCTGGGAATCCAGCATGGGACTGATCAAGACCCCCTGAATGTGAGTGTCAGTGAGGAGGCCTAGGTAATCTATTGAGCCTTGGGCAGTAGATCAGTACCCATCCCGAGTATACACACGGACTTTGGACTCCCATCCAACAATGTGAGGTGCAGTCTCACCCTGAACTCTTGGGGAAGGGTCTAGGCCCTGCCCTATATGAAATGACAGACTATGGACACCCCCATGGAGGGCCTCACCATCCCTGGGGAAGGGCACAGGAGGAGAGGAGGGAAAGGGAGAGGGACCTGGAACTGACTTGTGAAGCAACCTTGTTTCTTATCTAAATTTAAACTGAAAAATAAATTTAAAAAAAAAAGCTTCCTGCAGAAATGCTCTCTGTGCTGTCCAATATGGCAGCCCTGGCACGTGGCTAGGTGCACCAGAGGAACAGAATCTGTAGTCTGCTTCATTTTTTTTTTTTAAGTTAATAAGAGGAGTGATGAACCAGCAGCTGTCACACTGAGCAGTGCAGGTTTGTGTGGTAGATGAAGAGAAGCTTCCGCAGGGCCGAAAGGATGTGAACTCAGCCACCCAAAGGAAGCCCCACAATATAACAGAATCAGACCTTTGTATTGCCAAATGTTTCAACCCTTTTTACAGTTCACTGTGAAATTTACCTAATTTAAAATGTTGTCAGCCATATTAATAAAACTTGATTATCTTAACCAACATTCCCCTATGCAACTTAGTTCAGGATTGTTGTATTCATCAATTCATCACAGAATGAGTGCATGTGAGACTCTGGGCATTCTGGGCAGTAGATAAAAAGCAGACAAGGAAAAAGACAAGAATCCCTGACCAGCCTGTAAAACCAGTAAAGATAAAACACATTAATGGATACAAAAATAAATCTCACAAAGACCTACATGTCATTTCAGGGGCAGAATGGTAGTTATGAGGGATCCAGTATTTCCTCCTTCTGGGCAGTTGAAACTTTTGCAGTTTGTTAATTTTGTAAACACCAAGTCAAGCAAGCACTTTTGTAATTACCATTGGCTCTCTATGAGTGTCAATAAGCTTCCTAATGTTGCTTCCTGACTTCCCAGCTCCACAGGCACCCTCTCCAAGCCTCCTTCGCCAACTGCTAGATTCTAGAATGTCTGGTTTACTGACACCCCTCAGCATGCCATGCACACTACTCACACTGCTTGGGTCTGCTCATATGGAAACTGCTCATCGTAGAGCAAATGCAAACATCTTTAACACAGTCTACCAATAAAAGGTACAAACAAAAGCCACAAACACTAGGTACATAATTAAAATCACTATCATTTCTACCACTAGCAATCATGTGCCACCCAGAATAGAAACAGTAACTGTAAGTCTGTAATCACTAATTAATCCTTAAAATGGAGGGTTTTTTTCTCCAAGGAGGAAAGAAATCTATACCTTTTCAAAGAGCCAATCACCACACTGCACAGCACCTAAGATGGAACTGGGGTGCTATGTGCTCTTCAAGGAATCACGGCAGACCAACAAACATAGCTGGCAGACTTGCAGGATTAGGAAATTAATGATGTGTGAAAATTGAACAATTTGGATTGCTAGCCCCTAAGAGCATCCCAAAACCCTTAATTCTTCAAGTGCCATCTCAGAATGAGCAAGTACTGCATTCACTGGCACTCACAGCTGATGTCTGGAAGACACTTAACTCTCACTGAAAACGTCTATTTTTTTCTCGTTTCTATGGAAACAGCTGTCAGATTGGCAAAAATAGGACATGCACTTTGAAATAATCATTCAAGCTAAGTACATGATGGGCGGTTTCTTTAAAACAAAAAAGCTATCAGGCTTGGCTCCTAAGTTTCCAAATGTCACACTGCACCCCTGAACCCTGTCTGGGGATTATGACCATGAAGCTAAATCCTTTCAGAGGAGGCTTCAAGACCTTGAGAGTTGCTCTGAGGCTATCAACTCCTAAATTACAAACGTGGTATTTTCATCTCCCGGGACTAAAGTTTCTGGCTGAGGTTTGCCCAGATAACACAAGTTTTTCAGGAAATCCCTGGTGCTGCTCCGACTGTCCTGATGCTGCGAGCTGCAGCAGGAGCACTGGTCCCAGCACAAGGCCAAGCATCGGGACGCAGGGGAGACCCGCACAGACCAGGCCAGCGACACCGCAATAGGAAGCGCTGCTCAGGAGGAACCCACCACCGGCGGCGAGAGGCAAGCTTCCTGAAAGACCGCCACCCCGGCCGTTCGTACCGATCCCGGCATGGCCCAAGCCCAACGCAGCCCCGAACCCCTGCCCCAACTCCCCATCTCCACCCTCCCCGCCCAGCTCAGGGAGAACGCCAAGCGGTCACCAGTGAGCACGCACTCTAGCCGCAACCTTAGTGGGATCCAGCAGTCGGCCTCTGCGCAGGCGCACACTCTCCCAAGCCCCGCCCACTCACTTCCTGCCCTTGGGACATCCCGGGAGCCTTTTGCCCCGCCCAGCTGAATGGGCTCAGAGTCCCCAGTCCGTCAGTGGTCTCTGACCCGGTGCTGCCCCTGCGGATTGTAGTGTCCTGGCACACTCGCGTGGCTGGAGGAGGATACGCCGGGATAAGCCACCTGCCAGGAACTACACACTTCCTTGGTACTCGCCATGGCTGTGTTGGATCTCGGCAGAACCGCACCTGCAGTAGTTTCTACACCGGTTCTGCCCCAAAGGAAAGCGATTCCAGGGGCTGCTAGATGATGGAGAGGCCACGATTTGAAGCTGCACTGTTGGTTTTGATTATGGGTGTAACATTAATTCTAGCACTCCAATTGCAGGCACTCAGCCCGCAGTCCTAGGGTGAAAGCGCTCATGAAATTGAGACTAAAAACCAGGCGTAGGCGTGACAGTGCAGTCTTTAATCCCAACACTTGAGAGGCTGAGAGTTCAAGGCCAGCCTGATCTACAGAGCCAGTCCCAGGATTGCCGGGGTCATTTCACAGAGAAACCCAGTCTCGAAAACCATAAAAAGAAAGACAGAGACAGAGATTAAATATGAAAAACTGTTTCACCATGATCTCTTTGGGACACTAAACTTGAGGAGGTCAGCAGCATCCATGCCAACAGCTTCTGTAGAGACCTAAGAAGAGATTTCTTTGTGGGAATGGTTTACACAGGGTGACTACTGGAAGACGTGATTCCATAGGAGTCGCAGCTAAAAGATGATGTTTTGTGAATATATGAATTATTCTGTTTTCCTGAGAGATGTGTTAAGGTTAGAAATACTACTCATGTATTCATTAATTCATTCAACAAATATTTATCCGGTGTGTGACAGCACTGTGCATGGTGATGACATTAAGATCAATATCATGTAGTCACTATAATGAAAACATCATGCAAAATGGTGCTTGAAAAAGGTGGCAAGGGAGCACAGCAACACTGAAGGTGCGGGCTTGTTCAGTTTGCCGTCTGCTACATGGGCTGTGGAAATAATTATAAGCAGTCATAAAAATGAAAGTGGCTGTACAAACCAATGGGCGCTGGAAATGTAACCCGAGGAATCACTGACAAGGAGGAAATGACCCAAACTTTAGGTATCAGCAAGGAAAGGAGTAGATGGGTTGAGAGAAAACAGAAGTTGGGGAACAGGACTCTGGGGGAACTTCAACATTTTAAAATTCAAAAGAGAGTACAGTGGTTCATGCCTTCAATCCGAATACTTCATTTGAGAGGCTGAAACAGGAAGATCACTTTGAATTCAAAACCAGGTTGCCAGATTGTATGGTCAGTCTCAAGTCAACCTGGCCTACAAAGTAAGACCCAATCTCAAAAACAAAAAGAGGGGGAGGGACTTAGATAGGGCGAGCCAAAAGGAATAGAAGAGGATAGACGCAAATATTCACCATATTATAGTTAGTAGTAATTTAACAATACTTAATTTTGAATTCATTTAAAGATCGTGATCTTTTCTGGGCATAGTGGCACAATGCTTCTAATTTCAGCACATGGGAAACTGAGTATGGCTACCAAGTTCAAGACCAGGCAAGGCTACAGAAGTTCCAGGCAAGCTCCGGCTATATAAACCATGTCTCAAAACAAACAAAGATGATATAGCATCTAGAATTTTAAGTTAACTTAAAACCAGGTTTAGTTAATAGGTCATTGTCTAGTTTTTCCATTTCTTCTCCTCATCATGAATGGTGAGGGCCAACACAGACCAACACATGATTCCACTCAAGTCTACCTTTGTTGGTCAATGTGCTTCCAGGGGTTCCTTGCAGGGCATGGGTGACTGGGGCATCTGTACCATGAACAGCCCAGTCCAGTATTAGAGGTGAATATAGCATGCCACAAGACATGCTCTGGGATTTCTAGGTTCATGTGCCTAGGAACTGAGCCAGGAACACAGAAAGAAACAGAGACAGTTACTAGAAACAGGAGTAGTTTGTTAAGAAAAAGCACTTATGAGCAAGAAAGAAGGGCAAAGATCCGAAGAGGTCAGAAGCTCAATGGTGCCTGGTCATCAGAGTTGTGATATTTTATGGGTCATTTACATAATACCTGCCAACCCCCTTGTCTTAATTAGGGTTTCTGTTGCTATGAAAAGGCACCATGACCACAGCAACTCTTATAAAGGAAAACAGTTAATTGGGACTGACTTACAGTTCAGATGTTCAGTCCACTATCATCATGGCAGGAAGTATGCATGCAGGTAAACTTGGTGCTGGAGAGGAAGCAGAGAGTTCTCTACATCCAGATCATCAGGAAGACAGAGTGAGCCGCTAGCCTTGGTTCCAGCTTTTGAAACCCCAGCGCCCCTCTCCCAAGTGACACACTTCCTCCAACAAGGCCACACCTATTCTGACAAGGCCACACCCTCGATAATGCCACTCCATAGGAATCTACAGGGCCATTTTCATTCTGACCACCACACAATGCATAAGGACAGAACCAAAGACTTCGAAGCTTTTATTCCCATCTGTCATTTGTCAGGTTCTTAAAAATCTTTATTTTATTTTATGTACATGGGCACTTTACCTGCTTGTATGTGTGTGTAGCATGTACATGTGCAGTTCCTACAGACAACATTAGATTCCTTGGAAGTGGAATCACAAACAGTTGTGAGCTGCCATGTGTATGTTAGGAGTTGACCCTGGTCCTCTGAGCCACCTCTCTAGCCTGTTATATGATTACTTCCTCAATAGAGTTATACAATCCTTAATCCAATGTCTGGACTTCAAAAAAACCACACCTTGTCACATAAATGAAGTAGAAGGCTTCAGATCACAAAGACACCATGCCTAACCTGATCACTGCTGGTGCTTAAACCAGTAAATAGGTGTCAACAGCTCAGTTTTTAAATGACTATTGTTTTTCTCTAGTTTTAAATCAGACAAGAGAAGTGTCTTGGGAACCTTGGGCTTTTGTTGAAAGAGGAGAGTGCAAGCAGATGGGCAATAAATCATATACCTTAAGGTCATAATTGTGCCGGGCGTTGGTGGCACACGCCTTTAATCCCAGCACTTGGGAGGCAGAGGCAGGAGTATCTCTGTGAGTTCTAGGCCAGCCTGGTCTCCTGAGCAAGTTCCAGGACAGGCTCCAAAACAATACAGAGAAACTCTGTCTCAAAAAACCAAAAAGAAAAAATATATATATATATAATAACAATAGCAATAATAATAATAATAAAAGAAGTGGCCACAGAATTTGCTAATCAGTTATTTTGAGAAATCTTAGGAACAGATGAAGCTTCATCCATGGTGTCCTAGGCACAGAATGATGCACAATTACATGAAAATAGTTACCATGAGCACAGATGACACAATTTCATTAAACCAGAGTGTATTTTGCCAAACAAAGAAGAAATATTTTGTCTCTATTCTTTGGGGAAACCAGGCTAAATCTTGGGGGATCTATAAGGCTGCCTTTCTGTTTTCCTGTCACTCTATGTCCTTGGGTACCCTCAGTTGGTGGCTGGCCCCTTCCTGCTCTGGAAATAAGGACAAGGAGCCCTCTAGTGGGAGAGCTCTGTGTTCTTACTTCCTGGACGTAAGCATGGCTGCTACATGCACCTGTCCAGTAGCCTTTGCGTTTGAGCAGGTCTGGTCTCTATCCTTTGATCTCTCAGGCTTATCGGAGGTGGGTTGTTTATTTTGTTTTGTTTTGTTTGTTTGTTTAATAGACGGGACTGGCCCGAGGCACTGACAAGGACAAATATAATAATTTGGACCCCTTTGTCCGTTCCTTTTTTTCTTCCTTCAGATCTCAGTTGTTGAACACCAACAGCCAAGTCTGTATCTTCTGAGGCCCCATCTGTAGCTACTCCATTTTCTACTGATGTCAGGCAGGGGTTGACCGATTAATGAAATGTTAGCTCAGAAGAGCCGGATCTTCTGGGCTGTGGTTGGTGGATTTTCTGAAAGCCTCAATCATTTGAGAAATGGGGCAGGATTTTCTTTTCGTGCTTGTATAATGTTCCTATCTTACCACTGTTAGCATGTTTCTTCTTTCTTTCTTTTTCTTTTTTGGTTTTTCAAGACAGAGTTTCTCTGTATTGTTTTGGAGGCAGTCCTGGAACTCACTCTGTAGACCAGGCTGGCCTCGAACTCAGAGATCTACCTGCCTCTGCCTCCAGAGTGCTGGGATTAAAGGTGTGTGCCACCAACGCCCAGCTCACCATCAAGTGTTAACAGACCCCACCTTGTCGAGAGTCTCCTGAGCCTGTCACCATGGCTCTGATTTCAAGGTGGTAGTGACCATGCCATGCCTGAGGAATGGCCCTCCACAGCAGGATTTGTAAATACATACTAACATAAGAACAACTGTGAGTATAACACAAAATAAATAAGAACAATGATTGTAGATATCCTCATTTATAATCATGTTTGTTGTGACATTCAAGGGGCAAGAACTTTTGTGGCCATGTTTGTGTGTTTGTAGTCACATATATGTATACATGAGTGCATGCGGGGTCCAGAGAACAGCCTTAAGGCCCTTGGGCACCCCCCACTTGGTTGTTAATATTTTATTTTGAGACAGAGTCTCTGGCAAATCCCAGGGACCCATTTGTCTCTGCCTCCCCAGTGCTATGATTACAAGTGGAAGCCACTGTCCTTGGCCTCTTTCCTTTTTCTTTTTTCTTTTTTCTTTTTCTTTTTCTTTTTTTTTTTTTTTTTTTTTTTTGCGACAGGGCTTTTCCCTACTTGTAGCTCTGGTTGTCCTGGAACTCGCTCTGTAGACCAGGCTGGCCTTGAACTCA